GGTCCCTTTGAACTGCATTCTTGACCACTGGGCCTGCCAGATACTTCCTCTAGCTAAAGAGCATTTCCTGGCCACGTTTTTTTGAAGTTCCTAGATGTATGATTGCCTATTGTCTGAGGCTTTCACAGATGGCTTAATCTATTCCAATCACATAATTGTGCAGCAGAAATTATGGAGTCTTATCGGAGCAGATTTTTCCCTTTTATTTTTGTCTTTGTGACCTAAATTGGGATTCGAACTTTGATCTCCAGAGTTGAAAGTTCAGCATGTTGACTGTTCCGTGCCACATAGCATCTTCTGAGTTTGCAGGGAAACGCACAGGTTGCACACTCAGTGCCTTTAACCATCTGCCAGATGTGGACGATGACCCCTTTGCACTTTAAAAGGTGACACGTGGTTAACTTGTTTGTAACTTCACAGTTTGAGTTTCAGGGGCTGCATTTTTACAGGAGCAGAGATTTAGTCTGTGTCTTAAGAATAAAGAATGTAGCATGTTCCCTGTACCTCTCTCTTTTTTGCCAGAGTAGAAAACGTGCTTGCTGTGAGAATGCACAAAGAAAATTAGCTTCGGTTCGGAGGAATATGCAGTTGGACTCAATGTCGGATTTTTGCCATGCAGCGTTAAAGATGGATTAATTTTCCTTACAGTTAAAGTATATTTCAATGTCTTCTGTCTAAGTGACAGTTAATAAAAATGACAACTTAGTTTTGACCTTCTCTTTCTCCTTTAGCAATTTCTTCATTCCTCATGGTGCTGTGTTCACACATCAGCCACTTCCTGGAGAAAGTTCTCAGACTTGTTATGTTCTGGTTAGCCTTTTGAGGAGTTGATGCCTACTGTGATCCCAAATTGACCTGCTTTGTGTTTGGGCCTAAAAACCATAATATGATCCGTTTGTGTGCTATTGTGTATGCCAGAGTTTCGTTGTGAACTAACCTGTTGTTCTTTCTTGTGCAGAATGATGTAAGGATTAAGTTTGAACATAACGGGGAAAGACGGTAAGTCTGTCTGCACTGCTTTGGTTCTTTGCTTAGTAGAGTGATTTAGTCCATCAGAAATTTAGGTTAAATATTTTGTTGGCTTCAGTTTTCTTGTCCCTGAATGAAAAACACGCAGTAAAGGCAACAGCAAACGAGTCATCTACAACTTGGTTATTTTTAAAGATCAGTGTGTTGTACAACACTTTGATCTATTTTCATAATATCTCTTTGTAAGTGAATTGCAGTAATATTAAAAAAAGCTGCCCAGCCTGAAATAAATTGAGCCTGCTAGTCTTATTTCAGATATATTCTCTTTTTGTTGCGTTTAACTAGAACCAAATGAAACTGATCAAATTAGTGTCATTCTTTTCTAGTTTCTCACTTCCTGACAACCTATTGCTATCACTGTCCTGCTGTGACTGGGCAACAGATACAGCAAGGGAAGATTTTTTTTTCATTGGTCTAAAAGTTTCCTTGTTATTTCCTCTGATACTTGTTTTTGAGACACTCTTACAAAAACCAGAATTAAGTGAATTAGCGTTTTCTTTGTTTATAGTATTGTTTGCAACGGATGAAACTGCCTAGATGTTTCAAAGTAGGTCTCAAAAAGCTCCTTACCTGTCATCTCATTGAGAGGAGCTCTTCATACCATTATGGTGGTTCGGTGGCTGCGTGGACATTCAGAAAGGCTACAGACTGGTTTGCGGTCTCTTTGAGGCTGCTCTTGAGCTCCTGTTGAGGGGAAGAGGGGATCTCGACACTAGATTCCAGTTTCCTTTTGAATCGTAAGCATGAATGTATAGGCTACTCTGCACAGACATCCCATGGGAATCGTTGATTTCTGCCATCCTAGGCAGTACTTTCAACATGAAGTGGGTTAGTTTCGTGATAAAATGCAAATTTAATGTTGAATAGTACAACAGTGCAAGTTTTATGTAGTGATCCTAATAGCCAGTTACTAGCAAAGGTTACTGCCTGAGCTGCCTACGCTCCTCCTCAAGTATCCCCCTTTGTCAAATTTAGGGATTTTTGTTAAAATAGAAAAGCAGAGACATTCTTTGTTAGTAAAGCAGGCAGTAGAGAATAATTTGTAAATTCTTCCTCAAAAATTGAATGAAGTCGTACATGGTAAATTCCGTCACTAAAAAACCCCCTGACTTCTGGTGCTTTCTAAAAGTAAGCGTGGATGGGATCTACTGCTGCCTTTGTCAGCCAGATCTTCTCAGCACTCCGCGGTGTCAGAGGCCTTGTGTGGACTACAACAGAGCCACTGTGTGACATGTCACGATTTCTTGTGCTACCCTGTTAGGACAAGGTAACTCGGAAGCCAAATCTTGTCACCACAGTCCTGTCGTCTTGCGTGTCTTTGGCCTGAGTGCGTCTAAGATGGCACAGAGCTCCGGGCAGAAGAAAGGTTTTCTTCTGAAGTAACATTAAAATGAAAAGGTTGATTGTGTGTTAGTCTAATTATGCAGTTACGCTTGCCTGAATTCCCCATTCCCAAAGTGGTGTGCAGTTACAGACAGCAAGCTTGCACCGAGAATGTAAGTGTGTGTGCTTGGTTTCAGAGGAGCTGCCAGATCTAACCACAAATATTTAAGGTGGTCAGGCAGGAATGGGCTCCTTAAACCCTGCAGTCCCTGATTTTGTGTTAGAAGAGTGCATGGAGTTTTTAAACTAATAGAATTTGTGGCACCTGAGAACAGCCCTGCTTTTCAATGTGTTGAGTGCAGAATGGAAGCCTTTATACGGGACTTGAGCTCAACGGAGAGCTAAATTACGTTTGTACGGTGCCAGAGTACCATGATTTCATGGACGGGTTTCTTAGTAGCATGCAGAAAGTGTTATTGTGGGCTGCTTTTTAACAAGGACAGTTATTCCTAAATAGCTGAATTTTGTAGGTCTGGTGACAAGATGAACCCTTCTTGGGAAGGGGCTAAGGAAGCCAACTAACACTAGAGCTGTTTAAAACAAGCTGCATATCACGAAAGGATACTGAGTGCTGGCAAAGCAGACTGGAGGGACGTTTTGGAAACTGAGCCTTCTGTCCAAAGCATGGGGTCAGCAGTAACTCGTGTGACCTTCCCCTTGGGTGATTCAGGGTTTCACTGACCTCAGAGAGATGCCCTTGTGAACAAGAGAGGTCCTGAGTTTCTGTGGTCCGTTCAGGTCTTCCTATTTCTGCGTAGTGGCAGAGTTGTTCAGTGGTGCTAATAATCAAGCTTTTTGTGGCAGTATTTCAGCTGTACCGAAGCAGAGTTATTCCAAGGTGCAGCGGTGGGGTGAGCAGCTATCCAAGTGGTCTGATAGCTTTCAGAATGATGGTGGCTGCCAGCTGTGTCCCAGAGCTGTTTAACTTGCTGATACTGGAGACGCAGCGCGGTCTCGTGGAAGCAGGTGGCGAGAAGCCTGGCTGCAGGAGCCCGAAGGCAGGAGCAACCAACCATCTGGGCCTTGTGCAGCAGAGAGATGACAAGTGGGTTTCTGAGCAGTGGACGTCCTTGGTTTGCTAGAACAGGGGCTTGTGAACTCTAGTTCACGTTTGAGTCCTCCAGTTCCTGACCCAGGACATTCTACTCACTGATTCTTCTGAAGAAGGTGAAAATTGTCTTTTTCCACAGCTGTCAAGGTAGCAACTTTGAGTACTTGCCAACTTCCTACAGAAGAACACGCCACCAAAATAAACAGTTTTAGATGCTTTGCTGGAGCTTCATGTTACTACTTTCCCTAAAGCATTAGCACTTCTATTCCGAGGTAGGCAAAACAGTAATAAAAACCCAACAAAGAAAACTACACTGTAATTTTCCGAAAAGCGGGCATATGCCGCAGGATTCTGCAGGGTTCCCCTAGGACGCCTGTGCCTGTTGCCGTTTTGGATTTCTTGTGGCTGTTTGTGCGTGTGAGTCTAAAACTTCTGCCGTTCAGCTGGCGAGGCAACGGCTGAGTGCTGGAACTGGGGGGTTTGGCGTGTCACAAGGTCTGGGCTCCAAGAAAATGATCAGAATCATTTACATTGCGCATTTTCTGTACGTCAGTCAGTTGGTGAAGGTGCCCAGAGATGCATCACGCATGAAAAATATTCGTGAGGGAAGAAACATCAGAATATGAGACTGATTTGCCTGATATTAATATTCTGGTTTGTATGAATATTCTGAATTATTGAAAGTCAGCTATGCCACTGCTATTACAGCTGAAGCAGTATTTAAGTTTTGATCTATCAGGCCTCTGTAATTAAAAAAAAAGGCAATTTTTTTAAATAAAGCAAGCAGGGTTGCACAGTTACAGTTAGATTTTTACTTCATCACTTGAGAAAAAGCCCCTGCTGTGTTGCAGAGGATTTGGAGGATAACTGCAGGACAGTGTGGTGAGTCTGCTTCAGGTGTTTGGAGACGTTGGAGTTGAGCACACAGAGGGCTAACGTGGAGCTAATGCCACAGGCCACCTTTGGGAACGAGGATTTTCAGATTCCTTTGTGTCCTCCTGCTGATGCCTTCCCTCAGGAGTTCAGGACTAACTTTGCTCTGGGAATGTTTGTTGAAACCTTTCAACTGGAACGCGTTTTGGAAATTTTTAGGGAGTGAGTTGCGAGTTTGGGTACTGGAGTACTTAAAGCAAATACTTCTTTATTGTATTTGCTGCCTTCTGTAGCTTTTGATTCAACTCTCACTGAATGCATTTGTGTTCTGTGCCCGAGGCAGTGTTCTTTAAGCCCAAGTGCATAGGGGGTTTGTATCCTGTGATGTGAAAGGCATTTATTCAGTAAAGGACGCTTTTCTATCCAGGGACAAAGGCATTTTATTTGGTATCTTCAGTCAAATATTGCATTTCGACAAACTATTTGGAAATGGGCCAGAGGTCAAGAATTCCGTGCTAAAGTAATTAATATCAATTCAAATTAGGAAGATTCACCACCTGCTTGAGGATGAAAGGAGAACATTGAAATGTGTTTTGAATGGCTCAGCCGTCTGGTTTGATTGCATTGTCAAGTATATCCTGAATTCAGTCAGTGATTCTCTTTCGTTCCAGAATTATCCCATTTGTCCGTCCCGTCCGCTATGAAGATGTGCAACAGAAAGTGAAAACAGCCTTTGGCCAGCCCCTGGACCTCCACTACATGAACAATGAG